AGCAGTTTAATGAACTATTTATCACAGCTGAATATTTTAGTCTCGTAGAGTATGAGTCGAACGTAAGTAGAACGCTTTGACCTTATATGTATAAGTGTCTTATGGATCTTAAACCAACACATATCCAATAAAAGAAAAACAGACTTACCTTTAGATTCGGTTGGTTATTGATAAATAACTTATCAATGTCTTTAATCAGATATCTTTAATTATTTTATCGTCTGCTGAACTATTGGTCCAATAATAACTTAAACGTTGGTCCAATTATGGACCAACATTTGTTGTAGCGGTTGGACCGAACGACATTGAGTGGATGGACTGAAGAGCCCATATTGCATACCATACAATTTCCAAATGCTTTGTTAAAGGAAGAAAGACAAAAATTGTTGATCTAACATCTCATGATAAATTTGGAGAGAGGTATATACAAAAAAAGAAAAATGAGTGATAAATAGATTGATAATAATTTATAATATTTTTTTTCACTTTTTATATAAATTTAATGATTTAATCCTTCAAATAATTCTTATTTTTGGTAAAAAAATTTAAATAAGTTTTGAGTTTCTATTTTTTAAAAATTGAAACAATTAACTTCTTGTCCTAACACTGTTAAAAACAAAAATCGTATTAAATTGTTTTAATTAAAAAATTAATTTAAGATGTGAATTAATATCCATTTAGTATCGACTTTCAAAACTCTACGCTAACAAACTATGGTACGTGATTATAGAACTCCATGAAAAGTGCGACACAAAATTAATGTTAATAACTATTTTGGATCAACTTTTGTATTGATGNACGTAGACTTGTTTTAAAATATATAAACTTAATTAATAGGTTATTCAGTTAAAATAAATTCAAGAAATTAGCTTTTGAAATAGCTTGTTACTTAAAGTTATTTTCTTATATTCAAATCTAGAATTAATTTTGAAATTAAATTTTAAAAGTAATGCTTCGTGGGAGTTACTGGTAAACAGAGTTAAAATTGTGGTTCTCGGTAATTTAAAATATTATAGTAAATAAAGGCATAAGAATTCTAACGTGAAAAAAATAAAGTAAAGATATTATTAAGAATAAAAAAGTTGTTGAAGCCAATCGTACGTAAAGAGGTAATTAAAAATGTAAAGCTGTATTTTTAACACATCTTCATGAATGGAAAAGATGTGTTTATACTTTGGAGACGTTTTACTTACGCAAACAAAAATCTTTATTTATTTCTCTCTTTCTTTATATTTTTTAATTTCTACCAGTCTTTGATGGGCTCCATAAACATCATAACACTATTACATAATTGAGATACTAACACGGTGAATACGCTTCAGTTTACAGAAAACCAAAATATATGAAAACGCAATGATATTTTGCAATTTCAACGAACTTATACGCTTCGGTTCAAGGAAAACCGAGACATAAAGTCCCTATTACTTTAGTTAAATAACCAACAGAAGTGTAATGTTATGTCATTTCCCACCTGCAACTAACTCTTAAAGTGACGACTTTTTAAAAAGGCTTAATATCATTGTTGGTCTCTATTTTTGTCAACTTTGTTTGTTAGATGTGAGACTCATTTTTTTCGAATGTTCAATGTAGTACCTAATTGTGTAATTTATGTTCAATTTGGTCATTTTTGCTAACAAGGTTTAAGTCGTTAACGACAAAATGTCCACAGCACCAATCAGTGAATTACATGGTAGTTATTGAATGATGTGACTAGGACCAGCGTTGACTAAGGATGGTCGTGCCAATGAAAGCTTGACATGTGGCAACCCCTTTCTTCGCAAAAAATTATGGTTTCAGATTTGCATTTGTAGATTTGTGAACATCATTTGAACGTACTTGAAGAAAGTTGCATAAAGGAAAGAGATAATGTGAGTGAAACAATTGAGATGCAATGTAGAGATAAATTTAAAAAATGTAAGATGTGGATAGGAGAAACTACTATTTGGGTAGTTACAAATGAATACTAAAATGTAAAATACATTTTTAAAACAAAAGAAAGATATTTTTTCTTCACTCAGTTTTCCGCCTCTTCCCCAAAACAATAATTTAGAACAAGAAAACTTTTCTAAGTAATGTAAAATATTTTATCTAATTTTTTTTTTTAATTTACCAAATAGATTATTTACTCATTCAGTTCAAATAAATTAAAAAAAAAAAAGCTTTTGAAATAGCTTGTTATTTAAATTTATTTTCTTAAATTTAAATTTAAAATTAATTTTAAAAATAAAATTCTCTTTGTAATTTTTATATATAGAGAGCATAATTTTATTCAAAAATCTTTATTGGACAAGCTTACTCAATCCAATAAGGATTTATGTAGTTAACTCAGTTCGAGTTAAACCTAAACTATTTTGGTTTGATCTAATATTTATGAATTTGAATTGATTTTGTCTCTTTCCAATTTATCTTAATATAAGCATGTCTTGATTTTGTTTAATATAGCCGATTAGGTTCGATCAAAATTCAAATTGACTTAGTTATGAACTTGAGTCGATTTTGTGTGACATTAACCTAACCTAACTCACACTATGTGCACTAGGTTGACTTCATCCACTTGGCTTGACATGTTTTCATTTCAAACTAACATGGACCTTTCTATCTTAAGTGGACTTAGGATGACTCAATCCAACATGAGCATGAACTTACTCCTGTTGGCATGGACTTATGCTTACTAAAACCAATGTGAATCTCTCTAAGACAATGAGCATACTTAAGTTGATTTAGGCTAATGTGAATTTGTTTAAACACAACAAAATTTATCTATTTTAATCGAATTGAGAGATACCTTACTCAAATTAGTACAAATCAATCCAAATTCTAACTTGACTCACTTAGAATAGACTCAAATTAGTTTGACTAATTAGATTTGACCTGACCAACTTAGACATGCTTATCACACAACATAACTTGACTTTGATCTGATCTTATTTGAGTGTGAAACACCTACTCGACTAGTCTTAGGATTGGCCTTTCCTCACCTTGCATAATTTGGACCCAATTTGATATAGTCCAAACTTACTTAAGTTTGAGACTTAATATTTGATAACTTTATTGATTTTGATACAAAATTAAAAATATTATCTGATATCTAATTTAAATCTATAATTAAATGGCCTTAACTTAAAATTTGAAAAATATAAACATAAATTTTGAGATAAAGTCATTAAAATAAATTTAAGGTAATATAAAATAAAATAATTATAAATTGAATTTAATGATTTGTTATTTTTTTTCCACCCTTAATTACCATATAAAATATTAAAGAGCTAATGGAAGTAATGTTTCGCGGGAGTTCAGTGGTAAACAGAAGTAAACTTTTGGTTTCTGTGGATAATTTAAAATATTATAGTAAATAAAGGCATAAGAATTCCAACGTGAAAGAAATAAACTAAAGATATGATTAAAAATTAAAAAGTTCTTGAAGCCAATCGTACACGTAAAGAGGTAATCTAGGATTCATTTGTTTTGGTAGGGATTGTGTAGGACCAAGAGACATACTTTTTATGACGTGACTTTCTTGCTTTTTAATGCCTGAGTCATGTGCTCCGCTCGTCTAGATAGTCTGAATTGATCGCTTTCGGTCTGGACTGTTCGTTTGTCGACTGCTATGACGCTCTGACGCTCAAGTTATATAGGAGCAGTTTAATGAACTATTTATCACAGCTGAATATTTTAGTCTCGTAGAGTATGAGTCGAACGTAAGTAGAACGCTTTGACCTTATATGTATAAGTGTCTTATGGATCTTAAACCAACACATATCCAATAAAAGAAAAACAGACTTACCTTTAGATTCGGTTGGTTATTGATAAATAACTTATCAATGTCTTTAATCAGATATCTTTAATTATTTTATCGTCTGCTGAACTATTGGTCCAATAATAACTTAAACGTTGGTCCAATTATGGGCCAACATTTGTTGTAGCGGTTGGACCGAACGACATTGAGTGGATGGACTGAAGAGCCCATATTGCATACCATACAATTTCCAAATGCTTTGTTAAAGGAAGAAAGACAAAAATTGTTGATCTAACATCTCATGATAAATTTGGAGAGAGGTATATACAAAAAAAGAAAAATGAGTGATAAATAGATTGATAATAATTTATAATATTTTTTTTCACTTTTTATATAAATTTAATGATTTAATCCTTCAAATAATTCTTATTTTTGGTAAAAAAATTTAAATAAGTTTTGAGTTTCTATTTTTTAAAAATTGAAACAATTAACTTCTTGTCCTAACACTGTTAAAAACAAAAATCGTATTAAATTGTTTTAATTAAAAAATTAATTTAAGATGTGAATTAATATCCATTTAGTATCGACTTTCAAAACTCTACGCTAACAAACTATGGTACGTGATTATAGAACTCCATGAAAAGTGCGACACAAAATTAATGTTAATAACTATTTTGGATCAACTTTTGTATTGATGCTAAATATCCATTTTCTCATTCTAACTCTCTTTTCGAATTTTAATATTCCGAATTCAAATATGTTAGTGTTGTTAAGCATGTAAACTATTCTGAAATTCAATAACTTTATCGTAATTTTAACTTAAAAATATGTCTTACGGTCAGTGTTAAAATTAAATATTATATGATCATACATTTTGACAATGATTTATATAATAAAAATTATTTCTAATTTATACAGTTTATAAAAATTCAAAAATCAACTACATACTGGCGAGATGAAACGAGATCATGACAGTAATTTTAACACATTCATGAATGGAAAAAATTGGTTTATACTTTTGAGACATTTTACTTACGCAAACAAACATCTTTATTTATTTCTCTGTCTTTATTTATATTTTTTAATTTCTACTTATCTTTCATGGGCTCCATAAACATCAGAAAATGCATAAAGTTATAAGGCACTATGTAAAAGTGCTTGACACAAATATTTGTGCAATAATGTGGTGGGATTAAGCTTACGTAGGAGGAAACAGTGTTTGATGACAGTGAATAATGGAATATAACCATTATAAAAGGCCACTTGCTATGCCCTAGTTTCTTCACCACTATCCACATTCCTCAGAACTTGATGAAAGATGTCTCCCAAAAACATGCTAGTCTTACTGATAGCATTTCTTTTGGTTACAAGCTCCCTTGCCATCCTTCCATCCTCTTCACCAGCAAACAATGATTCTAAACCACAACCACATACTCCCAAACCACCAAATCATAATAAACCATCACCACATTTTGAAAACAGTCATCCCAATCCACATCATGGTAAACCACCACCACCACACATGGAAGATGCATCACATAAAGGTAAACCATCACACATAAAAGATACATCGTACGATGGTCGTTTACCACCGGATTATAATGCTAAACCACCATATCAGGGTGGTGATCCAATACATTCTGATGGTAAACCACACACAGAACCACCACATCATGGTAAGCCACAGCCCATGGGAACCACAAAGGAGTTGCCACCGAAGGAGCAACAGGGCACAGGAAATCAACATCCAGAGCCTGGACATGATGGTCATAATGGTAAACCATCACATGATGATGATAGTAAACCATCACATCATAATGATAAACCACCACACATAAAAGATACATTGTTTGATGGTCGTTTACCACCGGATCGTAGTATTAAACCACCAAGTGGTGATCCAACACATCGTGATGGTAAACCACCACACACGGAACCACGACATCATGGTAAGCCACCGCCCATTGGAACCACACAGGAGTTGCCACCGAAGGAGCAACAAAGCACAAAAAATCCACATCCTCCGAGGAGTCCTGGACATGGTGGTCATAACGTGGAATCAACCAACTTTCGACCAATTGATCCACCAGGTTCCGATTAGCCAAAAGTTTCAAATTGCATCAAAGCTTTAAGATGCTCTACAATAATTGCAATTTGAAACCTAAATTGGCTAGAGTTTGCTACTTTAATGTATAAGTATTAGTGTCGATGCTGTAAGCATGTGTCATCAAATAAAAATTGGGAGTTTGTACTGATGTAATATAACCATCAAATACACGTAAAGCTTGATGGATGCACCGTGTTTGCCTCTGTTTTGTTTAAAATCAGTCTGGTATTTTATTTCCAAAACAAAACTAGTTATTTAACACATAAGTTAAAGGATTAAATTCATAAGTATATAAAATAATACTGAGGGAAATATCATAACTTTCTTACCCAAAACACAATAAATACAACATAACTTGAAAACATATAACCATAAATAATCAGTTCAATACAACTAGTTATTAATATATTTCGCTTTAGTATAATTAAAAAAATTACATACAAATATTTTTATTTCGTTGATTTTGTTTGAACTCATTAATGATAAATGTTATTTATCATTAATTTTTTTAATTACATGTATGTTTATTACATAAAAAAATTTAATTAATATTTTTATTTCTATATTAAAGAATTCAATTGTTTTTTAATATTTATTTTTTGAGGTTTGTTTAAAATCATATAATATTAGATTTTTCACTGTTAAATCGATACGTTTTAAACGTTATTTGGTAGATGTTACATGTAATTATTTTGAATTTTTATCTTCTTTTTTTTTATCTTTTTTTCTTTCTGTTTTCTTTTTCATTTTTTTGCCAGTAGCGAGCTACCATGATCAGTCATAGTCGTCACCCTTCTCCTTCTTGATTTCGCTTACGAGCTTGGTCTAGCTCTTATCAAACCTCAACCCAAAATAAAAATAATTCAATTCCATTATTTTTTATAGGTTGAAGGTAGATTAACTTATAATTTTTTTATTCTTTTGTTTGATTCACTAATATTTTTAAGTAAGATTTCTAGAAATGATTTGGTTGCTGTTTTTTGTGAGAAAGGACTTCTTGTTTAAGAGGAATAAAAAATTTCTATAAAAAATATCTGACATTTAAGTTAAGAAAGTTAGAATCTATAAATAAAAGTGATTATAAAATAAGTATGTTTTAAAATGTTAGTTTTATTTATAGAATTAAGATAAGTCATAAACCTATGTTTTTATTAAAATAATATTTATTTTTAAAAAATAATAATATAATTATAAATAATAACTAATATACCAAATTATTAAAATTTAATCACATTATATGAATATGACCCATATATGTGTAAATTAGACTCTTTCATTGTAAAAAGGTTTAAAAATACTTGTTAGACTACACTATTTAATATTTAATATGCTTTTTCAACTGGATAAGAAGAAGTAATTGATAAAAATATAGATATAATATTATTGATAGAGATATACATAAATGTTATATCTTGACTGGATTATAATAATTATATAAAAAATTAATAAACAAAATATATTGATCTAATTCATTAGTTCGTGAGAAATTGAACTGAATTGTAAAATGTTTAATTTATTATAAAACAAATTAAATTGACTTTATCCGTTTTTAAGATATAATAAGATAACTATTATAAAATCGATATAACTCATATTCCGACTATATTATTTGTAAGATAGCATCGCCACGAAGAGTAAAAAGCTTATATGTGTCCTGAAAGTTATTTCCTAGTTTCAATTTTTGTTTTCACAAAATTATTAATTGCACCATTTGAAAGTGTCAATGAAGGGACCAATGGTCAAAGAAAGAAAAAAAAAGAAAACTGATTAGAGAGGTCAACTTGAGGATGTAAGGAGTCAATAATGCCAAATGCTTTGTGTAAAAAGAAAGAACAAAGATTGGCGAAAACATTGAACGGACTTGTAGAAAGTTGTAGAAAATTGTAGAAAGAAAGATAATGTGAATGAAACAAATGAGATGCAATATCATAAGAGATAAATTTAAAAAATGTAAGATGGAGGAGGGAGAAACTACTGTTTCCGTAGTTACCACTGTTAAAAAATAAAATACCTTTTAAAGAAAAAAAACTCATTTTTTTTCTTCTCTTATTTTTTTTCGTCTTTTACACAAAGCCACAATATGGAAAATAATTTTTTTTTAAATAATGTAAGAAAAAATTATCTATAGACGTGCGCTTCTTTTAAAAACATATAAACTTAAGTAATGTATAAACTTATGTTTTTCTTTAAATTTTCCAAATGGGTTATTTACTTGTGGTTATGTTTAGGATCAAGTTTGACTTGTGGTGGAGATTGGAGCATGAGTGAGTGTTGAAGTGTACCTGAGTGTGTGATTGATGAACATAAGAGTGAAGGATAGATCTACTTGTTGTACTTAGTAAGTCCTGTTTTATCTGCTGATAGATGTTTCCTTTTGCCTTTTGTTCAAATAGGGAGGATTGTTCGAATATTGAACATTCCTTATGTGGGGTAATGGTGGTTTTTTGTCCTTGTGTGGCAAGAAGGCATATTCTTTAGCTGGATTGCAGGATCACTCAAACATATTTGCAGAGGAGGCTATAGATTCGATTGTAGGAGCGGCTACAATCAGTGAGGTAGAATACAAGAGTGGTACTCACTCTTTCTAGTATGGTGTTTATGGTATTGAAGAGGCTCATGGTGGTGATCATGATGATATAATACCACTAGTAAAAAATTGTTTTTTTAACTCGCACATTACGCTTCGGTTCCAGAAAAACCGAAGCGTATTAAAACGCAGTGGCAATTTCGTAATTTTCAGAACACTATATGCCTCGGTTGTAAAGCAACTGATGCCTAAAGAGCACACTGACTTGGTTAGTAGGGTGAACCGAGACATAAACCCCACATATATTACACCTAATCAGACCTTTCAACTGGTACGTATTTGGTGGCAAAAATATTGTCTTGGTTGGCATGATGAACCGAGGCATATAAAAAAATAAAATGGAAATAGAAAAGGGCCAAGCTCAAATGGCCAACTCTCTTAGGGTTTTTTTTCTTTTCCAAAAATCAGAAACAAGGTTTCTGCCTCCTCTCCCTAAAATCAAAGAGAGCATCTTCATCTTCATCCACGACAAAAAAAGAGTTTCACCTCTCAAACTATTTCCTTGCACGAGCTACCTCTGGACCAACTTTCATGCCGCCCCCACTCGCCATGCAATCGTCGGTAACGACGCAGGCTAACACTGGAGGCCCTAACGACAACGCCTTCTCTCGTGCGCGAACCTTGGCTTCACTAAACCAAGCATTGTGAGTTTTCCTGGATGGTGATGATGGGGGTTGAAAATCTGGGTTGGAGTTTTCCTGGAAAGAAATTGTGGTTGAGCGAGAACAAGCATTGTGAATGGGTTGTTGCCGAGAGGCACGTACTTTGGACCTTTTTGGGTATCTGAGATTAAAATTGGTTGGTCTGTGTAGAAAGGTGTCAGACACGCAAGTGAGATTAAAAAATTTAAAAACACTCTACTGCCTCGATTGCCTGTGAACCGAGGCAGAATCTGAACCCTTTTGACTCGGTTCAGAACCGAGGCAAAAAGCCAACCCTTTTTACCTCGCTTGTATATACCTCGGTTGCAGAACCGCTTCCTATAAGCGAAAACAACCGTTGTCTTTTCTCTTGACTGCACTAGTGTATGTTATTGAAATTATTGAAAATCTTTTGTGTGTTTGTGAATGAAATTATTGGCGATGATCGTATAATACATTATACTTGAGTAGATAATATTACAAATGTTCTACAGGCATGATAGACTCGAGAGAGGATGGGAACAAACTTGAAATTTCATTTAAAGTTATTATATTTTGGACTTTAAGACAATCTAATGGAAGTTATTTTATTTCTTTCATTATTTCCATTATTTCTTTTAGGTTTAATTTTTTGTTTTGTCCCCAGTTTAGTTGAAGTATGTCAAGTTCGTCCACCCTTTCAAAAATATTGCAATTTCATTCATATGTGGTTTAAAAGTGTCAATTGCATCAAAAGATAGAAAAATTTGTCTCAATTAAGTCTCTTATGTTAAATAGGTACAAACACGGTTAACTTTTTTTTCTCTCTCTTCTCCTCCTCTGAATACAGCAGCTTTTTGTCAGGACACCCTTTAATATTTTAACAATTCATATGTGTGTCTCCGCCACACAATCATAAGCAATAAATTTTAAATAATTTATTAAACAATAATATATTATAAAAATTGGAGAGAGAAGGTTTTTTTCATTTAATTATTGAAAAGTTGGAGAGAGAAGGTTTTTTTTCAGTCAACATTTATAAAAATTGACTTTCCATCAAAACTTTCTTACATAAAACCCTTTCTATTTTCCATTTAAACGTAAGATGTTAATTAACGAGATATATGAATTTATTTTAAAAATAAAAAATTTAGTGGAAGGGTAATAAAATTGGTAGCATTTATAAGATGAGATTAAAGTTTGAAAAGAAAAGTTCAGGTTTTTCGTTTTCACCTTTTAAAACTTTTTTTACATTATAAGAAAATATGGATTTAACCCTGATGTTAACAAGTAAAAATTGAGACTAAATAATTATTAACGTCAAATTTATGTCACACACGTATTCAATTCTAAAATTATGGATACTAATTAATTAATTTTAACTTATAAAGGTTGATTTTAGATAATGTTGACTAATTAACGCTTCAACACTATTGTATCACAAACCTTTAAATTAATTTTTTAATTAAAACAATTAATTGTCAAATGTGCTTTGATTTTAAAATTAATTTAAATTAAAAATAGCTTAGTCAATTCTAAATGAAATTTATTTAATATTAGTTTAATTTGTGTCTGTTTGATAGATAGTAATAAAAGTAACTTAAAGAATCATATACAATATTTTCATGATTAATAAATATAAATGAAAAAAAAATATTAGATTAAGAAAATAGGTGTAGACAAATGTACATAATAAAGATAAATGTGGATGAAAAAAAAGTATGAATGAAAATGATGAGAAGAAGAATATAAATAAAGGAAATATGAAAACATATTTATAAATAACTGTAAGGAGATTTATGAACGTAAATAAATAATATGAATTTAATAAAATTTATTATCTTTAAATTTAAATCACTAAATTAAAATTAATTTATGTTTATATTTATTCTTAATTAATGCACTTGAATTTATAACACATAACTTTAACTTCTACCTTTATTTATTTG